AAAAAAAAAAAAAAAAATACTGATGTAGTGGAGTACAGTTTTATAAATACGGTTTAATTAGAAGTATAGAGTAAAACAACTCATTAGCTTTAAATATAAAAAGTTTTATTACCAAAGAATATTTTGTATTGCTTAAACAGAACGCAACTATGAAATTTTACTTCTTGTTCATCCAAACTACTGATTTATACATTTTTGAAATGTAAAATATGGGCTAAGTTATTTCAATTTTATTTGTAGGAAACTTAAATAAACAAGTAAATTTCCTTTTTTTAAAATGAGAAAATTTCTAGAGATGATTAAACACTCTGGCATCTTTTAATGAATATAAAAAAAAATAAAGGTAACCGGAGTGATAAGAACTCAATACATTTTTTTTTAGTAAGTTCAAGTTCCATATAAGAAGAAAATGAAAGAAATTATTATGAAATTTCCTATATTTTTGACTGCACAAGACAAAATATACATCCTAACTTTGCTACAGAAATTAGTTGATACAAAAAAATTAATATACTTTAAAAGAACTTCAATCATGGAGCTAGGCATTATAAAAGGAAAAACAGCTCTATATGATACTTTTAGTAAATGTCAGAACTATAAAACTCCTGTCTCTCTAAAAAATAGTCTAGTTTTATTAGATACTTCCATAGACTATCTAATAATGAAGGCATGGAAATATTAACATTCGATATAGAAAAGTGTACAATAACATCTATATATTATAAGCCTATATTTGTAAACAAAAAATAGAAACTCAATGCCATAAATACATGCTGACACCTATACTAAGATAACAACACAGGCTTATCATGAGTTGTACTTATGCGGAGGTTAGATCAAGGACTATTATTTTCCAGTGAAGGTTTATTTTTAAAAGGGCTAAATGGAAAGAGTTTTCCAAGATGCTAGATAACAAAGTAAAATGTATCCAATCAATTGTGAAAAATTCCTTAAATTAAAAAGATAACAAAGACAATTTCTAAAGGATGTAAACAAATCTACATCTCAGGATTTAATAAAGGACATAAAGGAATATGAGACCCATTTGCAGAAACGACAATCTGGAAGAAAATCTGGTTAAACAGATAAAAGAAAATATCTCACAAACATATATAAACACAAATAGCTTTAAAATACTGATCAAAACCCGCATCAGAAGTTGTCCTGCCTAGTCAGTCTCTGTCGAAGGTGTTCCGCTTTTTCTTTACAGATCACCATCGATCCACCAAACGCCTGGTTGAAAGACCACCCTTCCTGGCTTCTAAACATAACGTTCATGCCAAATAGAATAATAACTATATGTCTGAAACCTACACCCGTAGGAAAAATACAGATTGCTCCTTTAGACATAAGAAAGGAAATTGCAGGACTGGTGAAAAGGAAGAAACAGAGAAGCTACTACCAACACTTTATGTTTGCTGAAGTTCAAATTAATAGTCAACTAAAATCTAGAAAACCATTAATCAAAACTGGTGAACTGATCACAGAAAAACCAACAGTGATAAGATTATAAAAAAAAGGGTCATGAATGATTCAATTATAACAACAAATGCATAATATGCTGACATCCAATAAAATCCCTCCCTCCAGGATACAATTTACAATTCAAAATTTTGTGTATCGGGCTAGATCTAGTTGCATTTTTTACATTGAATATTGTTAGATTGGATGAGATTTATAGTTTTTAGCTTCAATGTACACATTTTACTTTATTATTTGTTAAATTAATTTATAAAGTCAAAATTGTATATGTTTAACCTCTTTGAGAATTCATATATAAATTTGAAAATTTAATATTCACATATTTAAGAAATTATTAAAAATTTCATTACATAACAATTTTTTTTTTTTAATTCAATGTAAGTTTAACATTTTGGACTAAACATCATTCATAAATAAAGGATTCATTTTACCTAAAAAAATATTCAGATGTTTTTATTCAAAAATAATTGTGAATTATAAAAAATAATGAAAATAAAGAACTTATAATAATTAACAGACAACACTTTATAGTAGCAATCTGCAAATAGCTACTAAGAAATCTGACTCTTTATGAAGCGGTTAAAATATCCTATAGAAATATTGTTAGAATAAAACTAAACAATTATTCAATAAGACTATGTATACATATAGACAGGGCAAAATATGATACCTTTGTGTTGCAGGTATAATTGTTATACTAAAAAATTGTGACACTAATTTATAAAATTAACTAGATTTTGACAAAAAACATATTCAATTGCTGAAATATTATGTTGTGATTCTAATTTTTATAAAACTGCAATCATTGATACATTATAATAGTTTTTAAATAAGAGTTTAAAATAAAGAAAGGTTTATTAGTGATAAATAACAAAATATCAAAAAATTTAAAACTGAATTTCAGCAGTATTCAATATTTTCTTTAATATATTTTTAGAAAAGTATAGTGCTTCAGAGTATAATTAATGTAAACAGACAACCAAATGAGAATGACTAATTTTTTTACTTTATTCTCAATGACTTTAAAACTGTTACAGAAACTAGTCAATTGTCATTAAATAAAAAATAAGAGCATATTGTTGTACCTGTACTATGTGTAATCTAAAAACTTAATTAATTAATAGAGTCAAAATACTGAAATTCAGTTTCTAACTACATATTTTAATAATTTATAAAGAATGTAGTATGAATCACATAGATATGAAAAATTTAATAACTTTTAATTCTATCATTTTGTTAAAAAAAATTTTTTTTAATAATTATTGCCTTCATAGACTACACTTAAAGCACATATTTTTTTACATACTCTATATATTAAAACAACACTTGTAACTTAATAAATACTTAATTTAAAATTTATATGAACCTATAAATTAAAAAACTATAAAAATGGCTATTTCAATGTCTTATTAATGATAAATAACAAATATAATATTCCAAGGCAATAATTATAAAAAAATTAATAAAAGGTAAGTTGCATTAAGTTTTGAATTTTTCATATCTTTGTCACTCAACCTGTATATAGTTCACCCTATAAATTTACACATATATAAAGAAATAAAAATTGACATAACTTGAAAACTATGGAATATTTAACTTTTACTTAGAAAGTTTATGTATTTATACTTTAATGAAAGTTAAGTATACATTAAATGTTAAAAATATAAAAAGAAAAATATTAACCAAAAATATATAAGGAATGAGTGTCACACATATTTTAGTTTAAAATATTAGAATAAAAATAGAATAATGTTACAATTTTGGCTGCTTTAATTTGGTCACTTGTCAATAAACAATACCTCAAAATAATTATTATGAAATGTATTATTATCTAGCCTACAAGCATTTTTGTGGAATATATTAGAATACATAAGAAAATTATCAAACATTATTAAATTTAATTACCTTAACGTCTATAGCCATAGTTGACTTCTTTACAAGAACGTGAAAAGTGTCCAACTCTGTTACAGGAGTAACATCGAAGTGAATCACGGTAACTGTTATTCCTTGATGACTTTCTACTGAGTCCACGTGTTTTTGCAAAACTTACAGTCAAATAACTTCCATACAATTCCCTAAATAACAACATTATGAAGAGTAGAACATATTAGATAATTTATATAATTATATTAATAATATAATCATCAATCAACACAACTATATAAAAAAATAAAAATTTATTAAATTTTAACTCACATTCCATTTGTACGCTTTTGGGCTTCAGCTGCATCTTTATCCCTCTTGTAAACAACAAAAGCAAAGCTTGGCCTGGTTCTAGACATCCACACCTCAAGTAATGTACCATACCGTTCAAACTCTTTTTCAATGTCTCGCCTAGTTATACTGCTTCCTACATTCAGTCAATCAATACACCATCATTAACAACTGGAAGATAAATTTATTTATATTTTTTATAATCTAAATTATTCTAACACAGTATAAAACTTTATATACTGATTAACCATAACAGGCACTGCTGTTAATTGAATGGCATTAAACTGCTATCTGAATCACTGAAAATGATTAATTGTGATTATTTTAATACACAATATAATGTGCCTAGTATATTAAAATATGTTAAAAATTATAAGAGAAAAATGTCTGTACTTGTAAAAATGTGAGTTAAATAACATGTGATAAATGATAATACATTTATATATTAAATTTATAATATATAATGTAAATGGTATAGTTCATGAAAATGAAACCCTACTTTACAGCTAAAAAATGGTCAATAAACAAATATGATACTATAAATGGTAATATAAAATAATGAATTGAAGTTTTATATCTGTATGTAATTCAATCTATATGATCAAAGGACATAATGGTTATTAAGAATCAAAACACCCAATGAATACTACTATAATAATAAAACAGAGTTCTTCATATTATAATAAACTCATGAAAATTTTTTCAATAATAAATAATCTACTTATGATTTAATAAATATAATTCATAAGTTTTAGTATTCTAAATATTAATATTTTTTAGTAGATTAACATACTGAATACACAAAAATGCACCTTAATATAGAGAACAAATTAATAAAATTTATAATTAATAATAAAATAGATATATAATTAATATTCAAAACACATCTTCAAAGTATTACCAATGTCTCTGACATGGAGACGGTGTTTGTCGACTGGGGTCTTGCTTCTACTGCGACTGCGACTGTGACTTGATCCCGAACGGCTTCTAGAATAGCTGCGTGAAACCTTACGGCTGCGCGAATGGCTGCGACTTCTGCTCTTAGAGCGACTACGACTCTTACTTCTTGACATGTTTCCCTAAATATGTTAAATAATTATCAATCAAAAATATTTAGCTAAAGGTTGAGTAAAACTTAATATATTACTACAAAATTTCAGAAAGAATTGGCCCCACCCCATCCAATCATCTACTGTAAGTGGAAAAATGTATAAATGATGTAATTGAAAATTGTAAAAAAACATTACGACGATACTTGATGCGCGGAATATATATAAATTTTCATGATAAAAACTTTAATTAAATATATATTTTTTTGATGGCATTCAATAAATTAATTGTTCAACCGGCGTGTTAAATAATTAGAGATTCGGAGTTAAGTAAATTATATTAATATTAGACTAATCCGACTCCGTCTAATCTTAATGATAATTCTTAGTTAAATAAATGGAAAAAGCGTGGGTAAGAAAAAAAATAAATCGTGAATATAAACATATACTTACGTGTTAGTAAATTCGCTAAAGCGTTTCCTACCACACATAAACAACTCGGCTATATAATATTTTGATCTTATTAGGAGGATGTGATTGATAAAATTTCAGTAAAAAGTAAATAATTAGATCGACAACAAAGAAACAACAACTCACAAACAACAGTCAATGTATGAAAATTACAGCGAAATGAAAGAGGAGTGAAATTTTTACGGCTTGCTGTCCAAAGATGTCACTAAAAAGCCTTTACAACACATGAAATTCAATGGAAAAAAAGAATTGTATTTAAATCAAATTTTAATCATGGAAAACTGTACGAAATATTCAGTGTAGCCAATCTTACACATAATTATTAACCATTACAGCGGGAAATATAAACTTAAAGTAACATAATGTAAGAATTATTTATGAGTCAAAATAATAATAATAACAATGACAAAATCCTAAACAATAAGAGATGAACAAGTAGAATTTCCTACTAATTTAAAAAATAATAGTGGATAATTTCTGATCATTGTAAATGATTATTACAATCACCCATAAGTAATCTTGTAAAAATGTATTGATTAAAAGTATTCCAATATTTTTTAATACGCTATAACTTCATTAGTTCGATTATTTTTGAGTTGAGATATTCCATCATCCCTGTTCCGAGCAAATTAATGCAAAAATGTAGAAAATTATATATAATATTATATGAAAATATTTTTTAGAAAGGGCATATTATTATTAGCCTCCTCGAATATTTTTTGCTACACTCCCTATGGTCGATTTGAGGGATTACGGTTAATACCCTCTGTTAGCAGTTGCGTGTCTACATAAGGGTCTACCTAGGGTAGCTTCTTCAAGACACCCCTAATATTTTCAGGAAAGCCATAACCAATAAAGCTCTGGTAAAAATGTTTCTTATGTTATTTATAATTTATTTTCTTGTGTTTATATATATTCTAAGCTTTTAAAAACAAAAAATTTTTTCGAAATAAACTAAATAAAAATGTTTTTCTCTTATTGAACAAAAAATTTTAAAACGCTGAACACGTAATATGTCACTTTCTGTAGGTCTAAATTTTATGGAAGAATAAGAGCCTGAATTAATATTGTCAGTAAATTATTACAATAACTGTACATAGATTATTACTTTAATATACGACAGTACTAATATTACAACTATATTTTTAGATTCTAGTTTATATTCTTCAGCGAGCCTAAAAATATGTATCAAAATACCAAATTGTGGTTATTTATAGTATTTCTCTCCAATACCTAATTAATGCATATTTAAGGATCATTTAAAACATTGATTTCTAATTTTTATCGTACTAATTACATTTTTATATTAATTTTGTGATTAGCAATAGGAAGCCCATGTGAATAAAAAATTAATTTAAAATAGGCTTATTTTTTAAATTTCAATGTATAATGATATGCAACAATAAGTCGTTTGGGATATATAAAAGGAAAAAGGAATCTCACTTTTTGGAAAAAATTTATATATAGTTTTAAAGATATTACGCAAGACATAGTTTAACATTCACTTTGTTTATTTATATTTTAAAAGTAACACGACGAGATTCATTATAATCAATATTTATAAATAATGAATCGAATATCCTGAAACACGACTTTAACAAAAAAAAAAAAAATGGTTTTCGATTTCATTACTTTTAGGCTTTACAGAAAATAACACCTAGCAGCAATAATATTATGTAATGTATTTCACAAATGATAGTAAAATACAGTATTTAACTAGCATTAAAAAAAAATTAAACAGAAAAGGATAAATAAAAATTAAAAAATTTTATTAATGTGTTAATTAATTAATTAATACAAATGATTAGCATCAAATAATAATACAAATATTAATAATTTTAGTGAGTAAAAAAATAAATATAATTTAATGAGAAATGAAAACATTAGTTTAAATCAATAATAAAACATAGTTTTGTAATTTTTAATCTTTAGTCTTATATTATAACTATATAATAAAATTGCTTTTATCGTTGAAATTATTATTATTATACAAATTACATTGATTCATATAAAAGTTTCTAATTAATTTTGTTACTGAATAACATGATAACTAAACAGTAATTCATATGGATAGTAATAACACAAGCACATACTTTAATAAAAACTACAATAACTTAGAATAATGCAATTTCTTATTGCATTATTTTTGAGAGCAAACTGGTATATTGTGTTACTATAACACTACTATAAATTTTTCATAATCAAATAAGTATAACAATTTAATGAAGAATTATGCACATTGGTAAAAGTATAACAAGTATTATTTTTAACAATAAAAAAAATATATAGCTGTTATGTTTAAAATATTCTAATTTAAAGTTGGTATTACAGATTATTGAGAAAAAAATGTGATATTATGTTTAAAGCTTGTACATTTAACACTACTAAAAAAAAGAATAAATATGTTATGCATGCAATATTAGTATATATATATTTAAATATATTCCTTTAAAATGTCAAGAGCTGCTCATTAGGTTATAAGCTTATTAAAAAAAAAAATATTTATATATATACTTGAACACAACTTGTACATGGTATAAAATTTTTTTAAACAATATATATATATAATATATTACTATATATTATATAGTAATAAGATCATAATTTACAACACTAAATAACTAATTTAAAACTATTTGTTTTTACTCATAGATTTAGATAAGTAAAAGAATAATAATTGTAAACAAATTAAGGAACTTATATGATACAACACATATTTGATGAATATTTTACACTATATGAATAAATAACATTCAACTATTATTTTTAATGTAAAGCTAATTTAAAAAATAAAAATATTGTTGACTATAATTTACATATCTTTGGTTATTGTAACTATTAAAATGTTATAAACATGTTTATTTTCTAATTAATAACAATTACTAAATTAAATTTAACAAAAGAGATTAAATAAATAACTACTTACCACTTATTGAAAAAAATTAAAATGTACAATAACAAAAATTAAAAATGTATATATTGTTTTAAAATATTATACCATTAAAAACTCATTAGTCTTAATTATTTACAAAAGAAAACTGATGAAAAAAAATAGAAAGCAATTTGTTTTTCTAAATTATTTTATTAATTTTTTAAAACATAACATCACTATATGATATATGTTGTATAAACTAAGATTATAAAATAGACCACTATAAACTTTTTTTTTTATCACAGAGTTAGCCTAAAATTATAAAATATTAGTTAGGTAATATTTTCAAAGAATAAAAACATGAAAATCTTTATAAACACATGAAAACATTAGATTTGATTATAAGCAAGTACTGTACATTATTTTAGTTAATAATTGATGTATATTTAGTTTGTCATGTATTTTATTAACTATGATATCTTTATAGAACTTATTTAATCGCATAAATATATTAAAGAGCTATTACTGCTTTCAATTAACTATTTTCTAATATTATATATTAATATAATATCACATTTATTAATAAAAATTAAAAATAACAATGAATATTTAATGTTTTTGTTCAAACAATGCAGTCATATCCTTAATACAAAATTGTGTTGTTCTTCCACTAGCACTATGAGCTCTTTGTCGTAATGGGCTGTAAAATTAATTTAAGTTTGGATAATTATTATTATATAAAATTAAAATTATTTAAAAAATATTAATTTAAAACTAAAAATTATTAAAAATGTTTAACTCAAAAAGCTAAAAAACTATAACTAAAAAATTACATGTACACATTTCAGAAACAATGTTACCAATTATCTAAACTAAACACATACTGACATCCCATCGAAAAAAAACCTCCTTATATACCCTTAGTGATCCTATGGACAACCTGTCGGAACAAGAACGTCAACTGGTGACTCTTCACAGAAGAATCGCTGAACTTGAAGGTCTCAATGCGAACAACGGGACACTTGGTGAACCGTCTACTAGCAAAGAGACAGCAACGTCAACAAATGCATACCAGGAGTCGCAAGATCAACTGGGAGCAGTAGCTGACAAAATCTAAGTTTTAAACCCTTGAACAATAGAATTCAATTCACTCAGATAAACCTGCATCACAGGAAGGGGGCCAGTAGTGTATTACTAAGGATCCTAACTGAGAGGCATACAACACCCTTACAAATAGCACTTTTTCAGGAACCATGGATAAATGGTGACCAGATTAAGGGGCTAAATCTAAGGAATTTTAAACTGTTTCATAAACAAGCAGATAAACCAAGAACTTGTATTTTAGTTAATAATAAAGTTAAAGCCAGCTTGATACATAATCTATCTAGTGTAGACTCGACTATTATTAGAGTAACACTAAGTGAATGTAAAAATATTATAGTAGCTTCAGGATACCTACCATATGAGGTCACAGACCAAGGTAGGGACCTAACTATGCTCTTTAATTATTGCAAAAATGAAAAATTAGAACTCATCCTAGGTATGGATGCTAATGCTCACCACACTATTTGGGGGAGCAGTAACATCGACCAAAGAGAATAGGTAATAATGAATCCATTGCTGACTACAGACCTCAGTATACTGAATAGAGGTAGCTAATCTACCTTTGTAATCAGGAACAGGCAGGAAGTAATTGATCTGACAGTTTGCTCAAAAGGGTTACATCAAAAGATAAAAGAGTGGAAAGTGACCTCCGAACCTTCTCTTTCTGATCATAGGCGCTTATGATTCACTTTGAAAATTAACAAAGTTAAGACGGAGTACTCTAGGAACCTAAAAAGAACAAACTGGGACAACTACAGAGCAGATCTTTCTTGTGACCTAAATAACCTTAGTTTAGATTGGGGTCGAGACAGAGTACTAAAAGGGCTGTAAATATACTACAGGATTCCATTGTCTCGGCTCACAAAGAAAACTGTCCTTTAATAGAAATATATTATCATATTTGATGAACACACATTTTCCTGATTCTGTAATTAACAACAGAGAACAGTCACATGATATACAGGACAAACGTGTGACCTGTGCTGATTGGAAACTAACCAGGAAAGTGATAACCTCAAGTGGAATAAGATGGGTAATAAAAGCATTTGGCAGTTTCAAAGCTGCAGGCTGTGATGAAATTTTCCCTGCACTTCTGCAAAAAGGGTTAGAGTTAATTGTACCCCACCTCTGCAAAGTATTAAGGGCATGCCTTGCCTATGGTTATCAATTAGAAAGCTGGCGAAGGTCAGGGTGTTATTTATATCCAAACCTAACCGGATTAACTATTATGAAGCAAAATCCTACAGGCCAATATGTCTTACTTCATTTCAGGGAATGCGGAGAAACTTTAGAATCACTATCAAGGGTCAACAAAGTTACACTAGCGTAGGTAGTACAAGGACACAATGTTGTCACTGGATATGAAAATGCTGACTTTCTAGCCAGGAAAGGAGCAAGGAACACCTATGTTGGACCAGAACCAGTGGTAGGACTCACTGAGCTATAACTCAAAGCGCTACCCAAGAATTGGTGCAGAGAACAACACAGGAAAATCTGGAAGTACTTGGTAGTACCTAGACAATATATAATGTTTATCAAGACCCCCGGTCTACTGCTTGGTGATCTTAATAGCATAACTAGACACCAAATAAGCACTTTGACTGGTTAACTGACAGGACATGGTCACTTGCTTAAACATCTTTACGCAATGGGGGTATCGGAATCACTATTATGGAGGAAGTGTAGAGTAAAAAAACAAGACTCATTCGCACATTATGTGCGAATGTGAAGCCTTGTCCACACTAAAATCAAACTAGTTGAGTAAACATTTTTCTAAAAAAGAAGATATTAAAAACATAAGACCCAGAGAGATACTTAATTTTGCCAGAAAGACAGGACTCTTTAGTCATCCATAGGGGTGACTTGATGATCCATCCTTATACAATGATAGGCATAATGTAATAACACTTAGGTGGGTAAACCGAATCAAGACAATTCGGTATGAGGTGCACACAGTAGACCAACAGGTCTGAGTGCACGTGCATTATGTCCACCTTACTAATAACTAAAACTATATACCCTGAGTGACGTTATCATTAAGTAATATAATCACATTTTGCTAATTTACATAAGTTTAATAATGAATTTTTCAGTGAGCCAAAGTCCTAATTAATTAATTTGTTCTTATTTTTAAATATTTCTAATGCATCCCTTATATTAAATTCTTTGTAATTATTTATGTTTTTAATGGAGTGATTATGTTTTAATAATATTCAGCCACAGGAGATTTATAAATCTCTTGACTATTTTGTGTTTTACTACATTATTATTATCTAATATCATAATCTCATTATTTACCTTATAGATGATGTATCTATATTTGTTTTAAGGATACTTTGATTATTGTTATCAGTAGATNCCATAAGGTATGGTAGATGATGTATCTATATTTGTTTTAAGGATACTTTGATTATTGTTATCAGTAGATATATTACTGTTTTCAATTAATTGATTGACTCTTAATTTTACAAAACCAATGTTTTTTCCACCAATATTTTTTTGACGTTCTAAACTTCTTGTATACCAATCTTTTTTTTCAGTGTTGCTGGTTAAATTTTCTTGTTCGTTATAACTGGTTATTTTTACTAGATTTTTTTCAAGTGTATTTAAATAAGATTTATCATCAGTATTTTCATCTAATGTTTTTAAAGTTTTGGCTCTTAATCTTTTAATAACATCATCATCATTTAATGTACATTCAGTTGTTTTAAAACGCTCACGAAGAGCTTGACGCCGTTCTTCTTTATATCGATCTATTCTTTCTCTACGAAGAGTATCAATATCACTAGAAGATTCAAACATGTGATATTCAGAGTCTAAATTTATGACATTTTCAAATACTGTAACTTGTTTTATCTTATCATCAGAAGGCATATTAAATGTATCTGATGAAACTATAGTATTAATTTTTTGACAGTTATTTCTTAGTCGGCGATTTTTTATCCAGGTTGGACAATTTTTCATTGATTTATTTACATCAAATTTATACATTAATTCTTGTACATTGATAATACTTTCCTTGTTTCCTAAAATAAGTAAAGTCAATCATATAAATAATATTATAGATAAAAATAACATTTTTTTTTTTTTGAAATGAACATTGTAAATGACTAATTTTAAAAGAAAATACAGCATTTTCCTCATTATTTACATTTGAGACAATTTAAAATAATTTTATTTAGTTTTAAGCTAGGAATGTTTCTGGAACATTTTCAAAAATTAAGTTGAAAAGTTCTACATTTTACGTGTATATTTCAGTTTTTGAATCCCCCTGTATAAAGATAAATGGTCCAATTAAAAAAAAAAATAGTATATTCAATGAATAAGATACATATTTAAAGTATTTAAAAAAAAAATCCACATATAATTCAAAAATTTTAAGCTGAAAATTTTAACACAATAGCATGTTTTTCAAGTACAGCAGCCATTTGCACAAAGAAGATAAGTTGTCAAGAAAATTTTCTATTTTAACTTATAGTACATAACAGAAGCTTTATTTTATCATATATTTGAAGATCAAAGTATTTCCCGAAAAATTGAAATAAAAAACAAAAAAAATTTTGAGTTAAAATGAATTTGGATTTTGAGAAAATCTGAGTTTTACTCATTGCTACTTGGAACTAATACTCTAAATTTTAAATAAAAAGTTTTTTGATAGATAAAAAAAATGGTCAATGTGAAGATGATTATAAATTAAAATAATAAACATACAATGTACTTATTACTGTTCAGTTACAGATAATAAGAAAATATTTATTTTATCTAACCTGTGCTACTTGCATTTTCCATTAATTCTTTTTTTATTTGTTTTTCATGTTCAAAATCTCTCCCAATTTTTGATTCAAATTTACAGCAACTTGTTCCAATATTACAAGTGAATTCTTCACCTTCAGTTCTTGCTTGTTCAGCTGGTTCATTATAATCATTATTGGAACTTGATATATCTTGTATTAAAAGTTCTGCTCCTTCATCAGGTATTAAATCACAAACAATGTTTGTAGTAGATTTTTCATAATTATCATACAAGAATTCAGGTTTTGTACATATTTGTAATTTGTTTAACTCTTCACTCTCCTGAAAAAAAATAATAAATAAAATAAACTTAACATAACTATAATTATTTATACCTCTGGAGAAATTGACATTTCATGATGACTAGATTTGTTAGATTCTGTACTAGTGGTCATTAATACTTCATAGTTTATACTATCATTTGATTTTCTTTGTTCGAGTGAATCACCTGAACTGGAGTACTTAGACAAATAAATGTTTTCTTCATTGTTTAAATCATCATTATCTAATATTGAGCTACTTTTATTAAATTGTTCTTGAGTTATGTCTTCTTTTATTTCACAAGGATTTTTTAATAATTTTGGTACATTTTTTTCATAAAATGTAGATAAATTTATATCTTCTGATGTTTTTTGTTTACTTAAAGTATCATGAAGATCATGATTATTGCATGTTTTTGAGTTTCTATATTTTATTTCTTGAAAGCTGTGCCGATCATTAGATAACATTTTATTACGTTCATCACCTTGAAAACTCAAACGGTTTCGAGGTGTAATAAGGAAGATATTTTCTTTTTGTTTAGGAACCTTGAAGTCATCCTGACAACCAAATGTTGTGCAGTATTCACTACAATTTTCTTCTAATAATAGATGATATGAATGAGTTGGAGTAGCAATTGAAGAAAAAGAACTAGTTTCAGTTTTATTATTTTCAATATCAGTCATTATTTGGTCACAACTTAAATGAACATCAACCGAGACAGTCATCTAAAATAGAATGACATAAATAAAGTCTTTGGTAAACAGGATTCTTAAACAGATAAACATTAATTGTTATAATACTATAAAAAACATTGAAAAAAAAGAATATTTATTAAAAATAATTAATAAATGCTTTAAATTTACAATATGATTGTAAATGCTAATTATAGAACAAAATTATCAAGCACATATTACGTGTTCAGGTGATTGACTATCAATAAAACGAATATCAGATGAAGCAAAACGTTCTTCCAAGTACGATAATCGGTTGTTCTTAGTAAAATCATCATTCTTAATAGAGTCACCAGTTTTTTTTTTTTTTGGTGATGGATCATTACTAAGCAAATCTTCTGGGTGTGCTAAAATTGGAAGTCGTTTACTACTGTTATTTAGCTAAAACAAACAATTTTTTTAAGTAACTATCCCTGAATAATAAAAATTTCAATTTACAATGTTGTCATTAATGATAGGAATATTTTCAATGCTTGATCGATCACTGAAAATATTAGTTGTATCTTCATCAGAAAAAACTCTTAAATCTGATTCATCCAAATCAAAATTTACTTGTAAATCACTTAAATCTGTAATTTCATTATTTTTTAATAAATAATTTTTACATGTATTATTTTTATATTTGTTAGTACCTTCTTGACTAGCATGATGGGCTAGTGATTCATCTAACTCTTCTTGATCAGCAAGTTGATCAAAATATGAGTCATGAGAAACTGAACGATTGTGACCATTTATAATAGAACCACATATAAGAGGTGATGAACATGGTGGGGTACTCTTAATTTCTTTAAGCGACATGGTTTCACTAGAAATTTTAGATTTAGGAGAATCTGGAATGTCAATATTTCTTTCAATGGATTTTTCCATACCATTTTTAGACTTCTAAAAATTAAAAATATTTTTGATATTTATTTAATAAAGAATTTATAAGTCTAAAAACCGTGTTTAAATGAAGAGTATAAATGAAGATATCAGCATTTTTTCAGAATTTAACACTAATTTACTAACCATTATTTGTGATACAAGGGTAGAATTAAATTATTTCTATACATATAAGCTGTACACTTTTAGATCATTTTCTATGTATGTTACCATTTAAAAAAATAAAGTTGACACCCTTATAAGTTAAGAAGGATGATTCTAAAAAGTAATTATTAGCTGATAAATTAAGAATTATATATAACTAAAAGAAATCAAAAATTATTTTTCCAATATTGTACAAATATTTTACGAGTAATTGAGTGGTTTATAATAAACCAATCACTATGATATGTAAGAGGATTGGCTGAAAAGTAATGCACGCGTGCTTGTAGTGGAAGAACAAAATATCATAGCGTGCAAATGAATGCTCATTCTATAGCCACAATCTTCCTCTTCTAACATTTGAAATTAAATAACAATCTAGTAAACAGATAATTGTTCATACGTGTTAGAATGGTAACCTAAGCACCTGCTATGTGTATACGCTTGAAGCAATGAGCAGTGATTGAATTTTTGGTGAAAAGAATTAGACTTACAGATACTTTAAGAATATTAAAAGAAAGTATAGGTTCAATTAATCAACTAATAAATTAATTAATACCTTAATAAATGGAAATTTACCACCAGTAATTTGACTACATTAATTTCTCAACAAAAACACATTATTTCTAATTCTACAACTTTAACTTTATTTTTATCTTTAGGCATTTTGAAATTTTTCAGATTAACTGACTGATTTATATAAAAAGTTTTATATACTTAAATTATAAAAAAAACATTTATAACTACAATTTATATTGTTTCTTTTCTGCTTTGATCTTATATGAGTATATACAAATAATCAAAATACTACTTTTATTGTCTAGTTATAAACACTGAGAAATTATGGGATGAAATTACCTAATAGTTTTGAATTTTTTTTTGGTATATTTTTAAATAAATGTAAACAATTTTAGAGGAAGAGATCATAGATTTTTTAAATTAAAAAATAAGGATCACCTAATGTATATACGAGTTATATATACAACTGTTATAAAAATTATTACATTATAATATTTTTAACTTTGTGCAAAAATTCGTTCACAGTTAGTTTTAAAGTTATTTATTGTTTTAATTTGATTTTTTACTATCATTTAATGTATAAACTGATAGTTGATTTTCTACATAAAAGAAAACATTAGATAAGGCCTTAATCACCAAGGCCTTCAAGTAAAAAGAAATTTTAAATGACGGTAATAATATTAAAAAAGTTACTGAAACAACCATTATTAGTTTCTACGCTAAGCCAAATATATAATGAACAAACATCATTGTTTTAAAAATTGATATTACAAAATGCTAAAAAAAAAAATTAACAGACTATAATTATAAAGAATTATTATAAAATAGCAATATTAATTTATAAATAAAATCTTACTGCAGTTTTAAATGGTGTTAAGGTAGGTTCAGATTTTTTACGGGAGGGCATAACACCAAGTGAAACACTACTGCCTCCACGAGTGAAAAATGATTTCCATCTTAAAGGTGAGCGTCTTTTATTAATATTATGTCGTTTTGATGGTAAATCAATGATTGTATGATATTTTTGAGGAAGACAAGAAGGTCCACCACCTAAATTAGAATAAACAACAAAATTTATTTAGTGTACAATTACCCGAAAATTCAAAAATACTATTTAATAAACTAATTTGACAAAAATGTCCATGTACTCTTACCAACTTCTATGTAATTAGTATCACTTTTTTTTACGCGGTTTTGAGCTTCTTCAAGAGTTAAAAGTTTTGTATGAGTAGAAATTGCTAAAGATTTTGGTCTAGACTTTTTTAGAGATCCTATGATATCAACAGTTTTAATAATTTTTACAATATTTACTATTTGCATTTACCTTGTAATGGAGGTAATGAAGATCCAACGTTACATGTTAAACTAAAAATGTACTCTGTATATAAAATTAAAAATTCAGTAACTACTGCTTGAATACCAACACCATGCAAAGCAGCAACACCACTACCAGTTTCTAATTGTTTACTTCTCAGTAAATTTGGTGCCCACACTATTGCAATATTTCTAGCTGTCATTCCAGTTTTTTTACCAAGAGATGCAACTCTAGATAAATGTTTCATTAAATATTCCAAAGTCCTAAAAATAAAACTTCTTAATAAAAATATAAGTAAAACTGAAAAATAAGTTAGTTTCACCTAAAATGAGGTGGGGGTAATTTTTGTACAGTTTCGCGCATTAGACGCAATTTATCTTCTGTACTTTTTTCAGGTATTGCTTGCACAGCATTTACAAAAGAATCATACAACTGGTATGTGCATAATGGATTTGGTAGTTCTCTAAAATATAATTTCAAAAGAGAAGCAACACTATGTATATCTTGTTTTATTGATTCATCTTCCCACAATTCTGGAATTTTATCTTCATCAAAAGTTGATCTAATTTTTAAAAAAAATATTTTAGATTACATCATTTTATATAATTAAAAATAAAAATATATAATCATAGAGCACTCTGTATATAAACTAACCTTAATTTTTGAATATTTGAAGTAACACCAGAAAGTCTGTAAATCCCATCAACAATCCCAAATTTTTCAATAAATTCTGTACAGCTAGTTAAAACATCAGGAACTAAAATATGAATGATAAACTTTTAAACCATGACTATTTCATAAAAATTTAAGTAATAAAAACAATAATGAATGCTTAATATAATTTGCATTTTTGTGGAACTACAAAAATTTTATATTAATTATAGAGGTAAAATAGGTGGAAATAGGTGTACAACTATCATAGAAGTATATGGAAATACGCAGAAGTACAAATAAAAACTAATAATTTTTGGCTTCATGAGTCCATTAGTCAGGTTATGTTTAGGTTCACAATCAATCTAGGTAACTATAGTATGAGAAATTTTATAATATTAATGCTGATAATTTTTTTTAAATAATTATTTAGTTTTCCCGAGTTTTATGATAGTTATTATTGTTTTTTATTAAAATTATTTTCTTTTAAAAATTACTAATTTGATTGTTCCTTCACCAGTTATGCATGTGTCATCAGTGATTTTATAAATTTATACAGCTAGATAAGAATTATTAACTTTAACTATTTATTATTTAAAAAAAAAATAATGTTTTTAAAACTACATTATTTTTATAATTATTTTAAATGTTGAGTTAACATAAAAATCTGTAGCAATATGAAAAACTAATAATTAAAAATAATGTTATAATAATTTCTTTTTTTTGTTTGAAAACATTTTTTTTTAAATTTCTGTCTGGGTAATAACTATTAAAAAACCCAGCACAGTGGGTTGGCGGCACAGTGGGGTCGTGGCATAGTTGGATCAAGTATAATGGTATCTGACAGTGATTAAAATCACTATCAAAAAAGAAACGCTTCGATGCAAATCTTTAGATAGTGTTTAATTTTAAAAAATTGGTGGATTATTCCAAAAGCTTCATAAACTGCTAGTTCCTTATTAATATCCTGATTAAGATAAAGTATGTCGAATGAAAAAGGGATTATTAAAAAATAGTATTTCCCATAAAAAAATTATATTGATCAATACACTTTTCAATAAGTTATAGCATTATAATGTTAAAAATGTAAAAAATAAAATTGAGAATTTTCACACAATAATAGCATTTGGTAGCCATTTTCACCTTGAAGATAAAATAAAGTCCGAAATTTTTTTTTTCCATGATAAAGTATATTACATTAGCTTTAATTTAAGATATATATAAAAGTGTCAGACTTTCCGGAACACTTTCAAAATTTAAGTTGAAAAAGTCAATTTTTTGTGAAAAAGTTGTCATTTTGAATCCCCCCCTGTAGGCAGGTAAAAAGTCAGATTTATAAAAAAAATATACCAAATGATAGGTAAAGACATCATGCATCTACAAAAAAAAGAATTATATTGATCCATACATCTTTCGAGAAGTTATAGCATTATAAAGTTAAAAATATAAAAAAGAATTTTTTTACAAAAATCGTATTTTTTTTATTAAGTTTAATGTCTGTTTTCACCATGAAGATAAAATAAAGTCCGAAATTTTTTTTTACCATTATAAAGTATATTACATTAGCTTTAATTTAAGATATATATAAAAGTGTCAGACCTTCCGGAACACTTTCAAAAGTTACGTTGAAAAAGTTCTACTTTCTATATGCATTTTTATGTTTTGAATCCCCCCTGTATTTAGGGAAATGGTCCGATTTAAAAAAACAGTATGTCGAATGAAAGATCTATATAAATACTACTTCTCATAAAAAAATTGTAATGATTCATACATTTTTCAAAAAGTTATAGCATAATAAAGTTAAAAATGGAAAATACAAAATCGAAAATTTTCACACAAAAATAGCATTCGGTAGCCATTTTCACCATGAAGATAAGATAAAGTCCGAAATTTTTTTTTGTCATGATAAAGCATATTACATTAGCTTTAATTTAAAATATATATAAAAACGTCAGACCTTCCGGAACATTTTCAAAATTTTAGTTAAAAAAATTAATTTTTTGTGAAAAAGTTGTCATTTTAAATCTCCCCTTGTGGGCAGGTTAAGGGTTAAATTTATGAAAAAAATATACCAAATGAAAGGTAATGATATTATG